TTTATTGTATTTATTCTTTTTTTCACATCACTCTATGGAGCTTTAATTCACTTGCCATAAAATTCACCCACTTACGATACACAATTTAGTGGCTTTGAATACATTCACAGGATTGTTCAACCTTCACCACAATCTAATTTGAGAACATTTTCATCAGAAACTCTGCACCCGTTAGCAATCTCTCCCCAAGGCCTCTGACCCCTGACCCCCAGAAACCACAAATGTACTTTCTATGTCTGTGGATTTGCCTATTCCGGACATTTCATATCACTGGGACCACGCAATGCATGTGTCTTCTGTGGCTAGCTTCTTCCACTTAGGGGTGTATTTATGTGGTCACCTTAGTGAGGAATGCTGCGTTTAATTAATGATTGAGATGCAACCTTTTCTTCTTCATTCAATCTAGTGCATTTCCCCCATTTCAGGGTACTGATCGTTTGCTCAAGTGACCAGTTACCCGGGGAAGGTGGGATGTGCCTTAGAACGTTTGGAACACACAGCGCAAATCCCGTCTGAGAGGCGGGGTCCCTTTGCTGCTGGTTCTCTGATTTGGGGAATTTTCCTCTCCCTCCTCTCTCCAGCAGCCACCAAGCCCCTTCCTCCATCCTCCCTGACTTTTCTCAACACCCTCATCGCTCGGAGGAAAGACAGGGACCAGGGCAAAGTCTCTGCAAACAAGCAGTCCCTCCCTCTATTCAGCAAACGCAGAGGGACAGCTGAGGTCTCAACTTCTCCCCAGTCATTCCGTCCGGAAGCAGCATCTACATCGAGTTTAATTACGCAGTTAAAGTCATTTTCCTGGGCTGAGCAAATATTCACAGCATATTTTGCTGAAAATGGCTTCGCCTGGAGAAAGGGTCTGCCTTTGGGGCTGGCGTGTCTGGTGTGCATTCACACATTTACAGACCAAGCTACCAGGGGGCCTCCCGGCGCCGAGCAGGTGGCAGACAAGCCAGCCCCCAGGAGCAAGCATCAGCGCAAAGATGTGGCAGCTGTCAGCCAGACGTGTGTTCTGGGCCCCACCCCGGATGTGACTGTGGACCAGTGACGTCTGTCGTTCCTCCGTAGCAGCCCTGAATCCCGGCTCTGTGGCATCAAAGAAACCTCTGGGCTCTGGGGTGGAGGGGGGCGGGCAGATGGTAGAGAGAACATCGTGCGTGGGAGCAGCTCTGTAATAATCAGAACCGCAGCCACCCTGCCTGCGTCAATGTCCTTGTCACCCGTGCTGTGGTCCCGGGAGGTGATACTTAACAAGAGCCCGCGTGGAGCATCTCCCAAGGGTCCCACTCTGTTCAGCTTTCTGTGCAAGAAAGACTCAAGGAAAGCTTCAGAAAAGCAGGAAAAAGTCACATTTTTAATATCACTCCCTCTGAAACTTGCCTCCATCTCAGGGCCCCGGTTTTCCCCCTGGAGGAAGCTTGATCTCAGTCCATTGCAGGGAGGTCAGAGCACTCAGGGTTTTCTCAGTTAGAGGGTTTCCTCTCCACCGGCCAAGCTCCACGGTTTGCAGCAAAGTTCTGAGTTGGGGGATTTGTGTGGCGTCAAAGCATTGAGGCGGGGCTAGGACAGGAGTGATGTTCAAAATATTGAAAAGCCAGTGGGAGCAATGACCACCCAGAGGGGACCCTGAGCCCAGATTTGGGAGCCCCTCAGCTGTGTGCGGAGGTCTGGGGGTCCTGAGGGAAGACTGGGGGTGGGTGAGCCAGGGGCAGTCAGAGCGCTGGGGCAGCAGCTCCCCATCAGCCTGTGTGGGGTGATTTCAGCTCCTCACCTCCAACCCCACCGTATCGAATGTCAGCCCTGATTGGAGTGGAGGCCATTTTACAGTTGAGGAAACTGAGGTTCAGAGTTTTGTGCGGTCACCTGAAGCCACACTGCTGTGAAGAGGTAGCGTGGGACTCACACCCAGACCCTCTGGGCCCCAGCACCTGTGCTGAGCTGGGCTATTTCACTTTATACTCCTTGGACTCCAGCAGAGGTCTTATTGTGTCACGGCATCGATCAGGGTGTCATGTCAGGTAACGCTGCTGGCCAAAGGCAGAGCTGGGATGTGTCCAAGGTCGCCAGTATTTACTACCCCTGAGGAAAGGAAGGAGTGCAGGAGGGAGGGATGAGGCAGCCCGCCCTTTCCCACAGATGATGGAACCCGGTCCCTTGTTGCTGCAACTGCTGGCAGTGAGGACAAAGAAGAGGTGAGGTCACCGCTCTGGCAGGGGAGCAGGTCCAGGAGCCTCCAGGGCCCCGCCTGTGGCCTTAAAGCTCGGGAAGGAACGTGCTGTGTGGCACCCGGGGGGGCGAGAGCAGGGGCAGACTGGGGACTCCGGGTTAGGCTGGGCCAAAGCAGAGAGGGAGGAAGGGGACAGGGCCCTGCAATTCCCGACTCCCAGAGCCCCCAGCCCCGCCCCCTCACCTGCCCCGCTACCCTGGATTCTCCCCCAGAACCTCGGGTGAACATAGGGACAGGTCTGTTGTCCTGGTTCAATATGTGCTATGTACCTACTGTGTTCTGGTCTTTAACCCAGACCCCAGCAGGGCTCCGGGAACCCATGGAGGTCAGGGGGCAGCTCCTACACTGGATTCCAGTAGAGAACGTCAGTCCCTGTGTTGATTTGGACTCGTGTGTACTGTGGGGAGGGCTGACCAGGACCTGGGGGGCTGAGTTTTCATTCTCACTCCCATCCCACCTGACCAATGGGCCACTCTCAGGGCCTCAGCCTGACCACCTGCACACGGCCTTGGCCTTACCTGCCTTCCCGCCTGGCTCGGGCTCAGGCAGAACACTATAATGTCAGCCATAGCGTCCTGATGATTGTGGCCACAGGGCCCAGCACAGAAACTAGGACCTCGAGGTGGAACACAGTGGGCACTGTTTTCGGAAACTGACTTAGGCGCCAATGGTGAGTGCTGAGTCCTTTTGGTTCCCTGAAAACTCTTACTCTGTTTAAGGCACCTCCTCCAGGCTGTCCTCCAGGCTTCCTGGGCCAGGTGGCAACATGGTCATATAAGAGTCTGCTGGCTGGGTGAGTGATGCTGTGCACAGGGAATTCTGAGATGGCTGGCTTTACTCGAAAAGGGATGAAGCCTACCGAGGGCCTGGAACAGGAAGCCGGGGCCGGGAGCATGCATTTTAAAAATGGTGCCCACGCTATATCCTGGAAGTGCCTCTCAGGGGTCCAAGGAACTGCCTCAGGGGGTGGAAGAAAGGAAGCCAGGGGGCCCGGGGCCCGACACCCACCCAGCCTCCTGTCGCGTCTCCCTTCGCTGCTGGGTTTCTGAGTCAGAGTACATGTCAAGCGAGTGTTCTGCAGCGAAAAGGAAAAACAGGTCTGAAAGCCACTGATTTAAATTGATGCAGCAGATGGCGTTTAACTGAGTTAAATGGTTTTCCCGTCAGTGGTTTTGCTATCAGAACTTGACACTTTGTGGGCAGAGCCCCGGCAGCTCTCAACGCCTTAAAGGAGAAGGAAACTCTGGCTCCCCGACGGACCCGTCTGACCTCGGTCTCCCCACCTATAAAATAGGGGGGTCTCAGCTTGACCTTCCACATGGTGCCTGCGAGGCACAGAGGACTTTTGGGGAACCGGCGAGTCTGTGAGCTGCGGCAGAGAGCAAAGCCAAGGTGTCCTGACCCCCCTGAGAACACGCACGGCTGGGGTGTGCTGAGCGGGAGAGCCGGCCCAGAAAGGAGAACGGCAACCAGAGAAGGCCCTGTGCGTCCACAGAATGCGCGGGCCCGTCCAGCGTGTGGTCCGTTCGGGTTGCCCGGAGGACCCGATAAACGAACATCTGGAACAGAGGGACCAGCGGAGGGCTTGAGGCAGCCCACCGTGAGCCCACCAGTGGCACGACACTCTGTATACAGAAGGCGCTCCGTCAACGCCTGGGGAGCCCTTTTGCTGTTTCTTCTGAAGGACCTTTTTCTCTCTACTCTCTTCCCCTATGGATGACGGTGGAGAAAAGCATTGCTCAAAAAAAGTACTGATTGACAAAAACCTGTGAAGTTAGCCACGACAGAATTCTTGTGGAAAGCCGAGACCCAAGGTTTTGTCAAAAAGCACATTTTAAACGTTCCCGTTCCAGTTACACAGGATCCACCACTGAAAGGTTTGTGGAATTGTTCAAGGACACTAACTAGTGGCTTCTAGGCACTAACCAGTGATTAACTCAGAAAATCCAAAGTGTGGCACCGTGTCACCTCTGGGTAGCATTCTCTCTGCTCACACCTCCCCACCTGGCTCTGTCCTGCCCCCTCCAACCCCACCTAACCCCTCCGTCAGGGGTTAGGGGATTCTTTGCAGGGGATTCCATCACAAAGGGCGTCATCAGAGTTCCCTGTTTGTGGTGGTTCAAATAAGAAAAACACAGCAAACAAATCCACCTTTTCTATAAAAGTTTATTTTGTGATTCTTGTTCCAAGAAGTGTTAAGGGAAAACGTTGAAATCATGTAGAGGTAAGGAACTACGGTATATAAAAATAATTTAAACACACACATTGATAACAAAGCAACATCGCTTTCTAGCAACTACTAGTAGGTAATCTTGCCCAAGATTTTTCCAGAGTTATTAAATGTGCTTTAGACAACAGTACACAGACACACACACACACATACACATATATACAGCTCAAGTATCTTCTTGTGTGCATTCCGGCTAACTGATACAGCGGAAGAGAAGGAACAAAAAAGACTCTGAGCCTGAGGTCCCTAAGCTGAACAAAGGTGCATCGCATAGTGGACTCTGGAGCTGCCGAGATTTCCCTCCACAGCCTCATTAGTGACTAGCCTTACTCTGCTGTGGTCTTATCAGAAAAATTAAGGGGTGTCTTTCGATCGGCCTCTGGGTGCGGTCATTGCGGTGCTGCAAGCAGTGAGAACTCAGGAAGCCCCATCCCTCCCTCTCTCTCTCTCTCTCTCTCGCTCTCTCGCTCTCTCTCTCTCTCTCTCTCTCTCTCTCTCCCTCTCTCTCTCTCTCTCTCCCTCTCTCTCCCTCTCTCTCTCTCTCTCTCCCTCTCTCTCTCTCTCTCTCTCTCTCTCTCGCTCTCTCTCTCGCACTGTACGGATTGGAGGCGGAGGACCAGGTGAGGTCTGGGGTGTGACTACATCTGGCTGATTCTTTGCTTCAGGGCCAGGACCTCGCTCTCGATCTCGTGGGGGAGGTCGGCGTTCACCTGCCCCTCCAGGTACTTCTGGATGTCTTCCACCTCCTCCTCCCAGAACTCCTTGGAGATGTGGAAGAGCTCCTTCACGCTGACGTCCCCCAGGCCCCGAAGGTCCAGGGCGTCCTCGTCCGGGATGTAGCCGATGGGCGTGAGCTTGGCGCCCCCTTCCCCGCCAACGCGGTTGAACATCCACTCCAGCACCCTGGAGTTCTCGCCGAAGCCCGGCCAGAGGAACCTGCCGGCCTTGTCCTTCCGGAACCAGTTGACGTGGAAGATCTTGGGCAGCTTGGCCTCGGGGCGCTGGGCCATGCTGAGCCAGTGCGCCAGGTACTGGCCGAAGTTGTAGCCGAAGAAGGGCCGCATGGCGAAGGGGTCGTGCATGATGACTTTGCCTGTTAACAGAGGGGCTCTGTTGGTAAATGATGCCTCAGAGGACGCTGTTGGCACGTTTACTGTTGACACGGCCACTTGGCTTTCTCTACCTCTCTACACAGAGAGAGACACAGGGAGACAGAGACAGAGAGGGAACACAGAGACAGAGATAAACAGAGCCAGAGAGAGACAAAGACAGACATGCAGAGACAGAGAGGCACAGAGAGAGAGAGACACAGGGAGACASAGACAGAGAGGGAACACAGAGACAGAGACACAGAGACAGAGATGGAGAAACAGAGCCAGAGAGAGACAAAGACAGACATGCAGAGACAGAGAGGCACAGAGAGAGAGAGAGACACAGAGGCAAAGAGGCACAGAGACACAGAGACAGAGACAGAGACAGAGAGCCACAGAGACAGAGCAGTCCATCTCCCTTCTCGGCGGCTCCAGATTCTGGCCGGACTCACCCTTGTGTTCTGCCGCTGCCGTGGCCTCCGATCTCATGGCCGCACCCACAAACACGCCATGCTGCCAGCTGAGAGCCTCATAGACCAGAGGGACACCTTTAGCAGGAGAAAGAAACGTTCTTTACAGGCCTTGACACCGAGACCCCTCGGCCGGCAATGCCATCTCACAAATGGAAAGACACAGCTGTGTGCTGTCTTTCTAACTGAGCTAATTCTGCATCCCCAGAGCTAAGGGCAGATGCCGCCACGTCAAGTTACAGCAGGAGGCCACGCAGCCGAAGTCAATCTGGGGGCGGCATCACAGGACCAAGGATCCAGAAGTTCCAGGTGGCCAGAAATTACGTTCTAGCCTGGGGCTTGCTCATTACCCTGCCGTCTGGGAAAGGAAGCTCTGCATCCCTGACACCCTCCGACAAGGTCACGGCAAAGGGGAGAGTGTGCCACGTCCTCTGGTCCCCAGCCCGAATGCAGGGGAGCCTCACCAACAGGTCGGCGCCCCCCGAAGATGATGGCCTCGATGGGCACGCCATCCGGAGACTCCCAGTCAGGGTCAATGATGGGGCACTGGCTGGCAGGGGTGCAGAACCGCGAGTTGGGGTGGGCGCAAGGCTCCCCTACAGCAGCAAGAGAGGAGAGGCCCTGAGCGTCTGGCCCGACACACACGCCCATGGGCTGGGGCCCCAGGCCTCCCAGGGGGGGCGGGGGGCGCTTACCATCCTTGGGGTCCCACTCCTTGCCCTTCCAGGAAATGAGCTTGATGCCCGGGGCCAGTGGCTGGTCAATGCCTTCCCAGTAAACGCCCCCATCGCTGGTCTCGGCCACGTTGGTGAAGATGGTGTTCCTCTGGATGGTCTTGATGGCATTGGGGTTTGTCTTCACAGAGGTTCCAGGAGCGACACCAAAAAACCCGTTCTCTGGGTTGATGGCCCGCAAGTTACCTGGAAAGTTTTAAACCAGGTAGTAGAAGTAAATACCAAGCAAAGCATAACATATATTCTTATATCTCGCCAGGCTAATTTCTGTACCAAATTCTCAAGTCTTTTATTTTTATCCTCCTGCCTAGAATCTATTTCTCTTTTTTCATCCCAGCATTATCAGTCAACTCTGATTCTTTCTTCCACACCAGTTTCCCACCAAGCTTTTTTTTTTTTTTTAGTCTTTATTGAATTTGTTACAATATTGCTTCTGTTTTATATTTTGGGTTTTTGGCCCGAAGGCAGGTGGGATCTTAGCTCTCCAACCAGGGATCAAACCTGTACCCCTTGCACTGGAAGGTGAAGTCTTAACCATTGGACCGCCAGGGAAGTCCCCCAGCAAGCTATTTTAATCAATTTATTATACAAACAAACAGCAATATAGGGTCCCATTTCAATCCAGATTTGATATGAGATTAAAGAATGCTGATGGAATACATCTGTCTGAGCTTTGGCAAGAACTGAAATAACTGAATTAAAAATCCAAACACTGTGGATTTAAGAGAATTTGGTACGTTCTGAAAGCCAAAACTTCACTTAGGTTCAATTATTATCATCAACACTTGGGCCTAAAAGAGTCACCTTGTTGGTCAAATTTCATCCAGGCGATGTCATCCCCCACACACTCTACTTTCCACCCTGGGAGGGTGGGGTTCATCATGGCCAGGTTGGTCTTCCCGCAGGCGCTGGGAAAGGCAGCCGCGAAGTACTTCTTCTGGCCCTTGGGGTTGGTTATGCCCAGAATCTGTCGGAGGCAAGATTTCTCCTTAAGCACTTCGTTCCTTTCTGCCCCAGAGGTGCACGCTTTAGTCTGGGAGGGTGTCTCCATCATCGTTACTGATGGAATTTCTAGACCTGTCCTTGGAGCACGGTCGGAACTCTGAAGCGGTAGGGGTTCGCCACTTCCCCTCCTCTGCCCGACCCTCTACAGCGCGCAGTTAGAATTTCCTGCTTCTTACCAGCATGTGCTCTGCCAGCCACCCCTCCTCCTTGGCCAGCCGGCTGGCCATCCTGAGAGCAAAGCACTTCTTCCCAAGGAGCGAGTTCCCGCCGTACCCACTCCCGAAGGAGATGATTTCTCTGCGGTCGGGCAGGTGGGCGATGAGTGTCATCTCCGGGTTGCAGGCCCAGTTGTTAACCAAAGGCTCTGCACGGGAGGACACGCCCACATCAGTGTGCACCGTCCCCGCCTGGGTTTAAGCCGAAGCTTGCTTTTTGCTGTTTGTTTTTTTTCAGTTCTAGCTTTTGATTTTGAAACAATATGCTTACTTTGTAAAGGCAAAGGGCACCCCACGGAATGGAGGCATTTGACAAACTCCCCGTTCCCCAGCGCTTCCAGGACGGGCGTGCCCATTCGCGTCATGATGCGCATGCTGGCCACCACGTAGGGCGAATCCGTCAGCTCAATGCCGATCCTGGACAGAGGCGAGCCCAGGGGCCCCATGCTGAATGGGATGACGTACATGGTGCGACCTGCGGGGCCGGTGGGTGGGAAGCGGTGAGAAATGACCCCGGACTCACAAACAACCACCACTGTTTCCCTCGGCGGACCCTTCTCAAGATTCCCCCTCTGACAACATCACGCCTTGCTTGCCACCAGTGCCCCCGAGTTAGCAGAGTCCACTGAAAAGTGGCCAGAACTCCAAAATCAAAGAGTTTTCATAAATGTGCAATTGGGTTCCACCAAGCTATCTTAAGTCCACATGTGTAGAAAGCGTTTTTCTGGTCGCATAAGACAGTCTATAAAACCAGAACTGAGACGTACATTTTCAATATGCGGCCAAGTTCACATGTGGAATGTAAGGCTCTCTGGGGCCGGGGGAGTTTCTATGACGAGTAACATTAGGGCAGACGCAATAAGAAAAGGTTCTATGACGAGTAACATCAGGGCAGACGCAATAAGAAAAGGTTTGCTGACATTTTGCTCAAATAAACGTTTCACTCACCTTTCATGCACCCTGGAAATCGGGCATTGAACGCTTTCTCAAAATCCTCCTCGGACATCCAGCGACCCAGCTGGCTGAGGCCGGTTTTGGGGATGGGCACCGTATCTCTTTGCTCTTGAGTAATGATGACCGTCTTGCTTTCAATTCTGGCCACATCCCTGGGGTCAGTGAGAGCCAACCAGCTGCAAAAAGCAAAACTACACAGGTGAGGACTGGAGAGGAAGCGCTGCTTCTCTGCACGGCACCTGCGCCCTGGACGCCCTCAGCCCCGCGCCATTCACGAAGGGACCAGTTGTTCATCATCACTTTCTTCCCACACCTGGCCGGTGCCCAGCGCGCTAGTGAGGCTCCGGCAATGTGGACACAGCCGTGCCGCCGGGGACACAGTCAGGGAGACACACACCAGACCAGGAGCTAGTCTGTTAGGACAGGGCCTGTCCGACCTTCCTTTGGATCGGGGACCTAGTTTGCAGACAGCGTTCGCATGCGCCCCCTCTTTGACGACTTGGGCTGCTCTGCGAACGTCATAAAATTAAGTTTCTGTGGTTCTGGCTCTTTTCCTAAGCTTTTCAAGAGTCTGCAAACCACACAGCCCCGGCCCCGCCCTGCCCAAGGCCCTCCTCCACCACTTCCCCACCTGCACCCTGGGCGGTGCGGAAGGGCCCGAGGCTGTGCTCACCAGTTGTCGTACTTCCTCAGCCTCTTGATCACACCCTCCTCCTCCATGCGGCCCAGCAGCTGCCGGTTCTCATCCTCAGAGCCGTTGCAGATGTGGATCTGGTCGGGCCAGCACAGCTTGGCGTTGCTCTCCACGAACTCTCTCACGGCCTGGGGCAGGCTGTCCAGGGTGCCCTGGACAACTCTGGCTGAGCAGCTGAGACCACCTGAGAGCTGGGGAGGCATCTCTGCGGGGCTGGGCTGAGGGGCACGGGCGCCAAGTTTCCTGCCATAGAAAAAGCACAGGCTTCCTGAACAAAAACCACCACGGAGGCCCCCCAACTCCACGCGCCTTGTCCGGGTTGCACCTCGCCAGACAGTCGGGGCTGGGAGGAGAAAAGAAAGCCAGTTCCTGTTAGCACTGCAGTTTGTGAGAGACATAAACGAACAGCTCTACCTACCTTTCTTCTCTTTGGACGATCTGGATCAGGGACCCAAAGGTCTCTTTCAAGGCTCTTCCCGCGGGTGAGTGTGTGTTCCCAGTGGGAAGGCCCTGTCTGGTGTTTGGGGGCAGAACTTCCTGGCTTTAAATTCCATGAAGGACAGAGGTCCAGCCCCTCAGCCACACCCAAGGAGGCTCATCTCTGACGTCAGGGGCTGGTCTTTGGATCACGGCCACGGTCAGTTATGCTTTGGACCGGCTCACCACAATAACCCCCAGGGAGATAATCATTGAACAGATAGTTGTTAATGTGTGCTGGAGGCCTCCGGCCCCTGGCCCAGCCATAGCAAAGCCTTACACAACTGCTGATTGACGAAACTCTGACCCAGTCCCCTGCTGATGCAAAACACAGGCCCTCCCTCTGACAGGCAGGTGGGACAGAGCACCGGCTTGGGGGGACCTCAGGGCTTTTGGCAGTACGTCTTGTGTACGGACCGCTGCTGGTTGGCAGAATGAGACAGTGGTGAGGTATCACCCCACAGTCAAAGGCCAACGGGAAGAACACCCCCAAATGCAACGGGATGGTGTGCGGCTGTTGGCAATTGTCTGACCTAATTAGGGGTGATTAACCTTATAGAGTGTCCATGGTGCGCCCCCTGCCCTCACTCCAAATAGAAAGAAACTCCGCGAGGGCAGGGATTTCTGCCTATTTTCTCCCTGTTTTGTATGCACAGTTCCTGGCACACGGTAGGCGCTGAATGAATAAGTGCAGAGCACTGTTGTAGGCTCTTTGTATCGACTTAACTCCTTGCCACCATCTGAGGTGGCGCCCACGAACAGTCTGTGTACAGACAAGGACACTGAGGCACAGGGGGCCCAGCGGCTACTCCCCAATGCGGGGCTGGTGGGTGGCAGAGGGAGGGTTGGAACAGGAGCCACTGGGCTCCAGAGCGGCACACCGGACTGCCCCTTGTGAGGAACCTTTGCCCCTTCTGGAACCTTCCATGTATTGTCCGAGGAGTTCCGGCTGGGTGCAGTTATTTCTGGAGTCGACTATACACTTTTTGTCGCCCTTGCAAATCTTAGCGTCCGGGGAGTGGAGGGGGCTGGTTTTGCTAGATTACACTTGAGCAATGAGACCTTTATAACAGCTGCAAAGAATCTGCTTTGCAAGCCGTCAGAACGTCAGTCGAATTTAATGACCTATGGAGCTGCTGGCCAGTGTCGAGAACACTAGGTGAGAAGTCGGGAGAACGGGGCCAAGGCCCGACGCCCCCCCCCCCAGCCAGCTCCACAGCTGAGTGGGCGCCCCCTCCCCAGAGGAGGGCGGTGGGGAGTTGCCCGCCTCCCCCGTGGAGGGTGAGCTGAGATGGCTCCGGGACTGTGTCTGCAAGGCGCCGTGACCATCACGAGGCATCGGGAACGACGATCTCAGACCGGGAGTACTTGGAGGACCATCCTGCGGGGCTTTGCTTCCACTGCCGCGCTGGGTGTGCATGTGTCACCAACTTCCACCCAAACTGTCAGCCCATCGCTAGGTTTCATTTACTCAGCTTTTTAATTCAGCCAGCCGAATCTTTCAGTATAAGTACGACAGGAGATGTCTCTGTTTAAAGTCATTTGCCGAGATGGTCACTGGAATTCATTCTTAATGATGCTATCAGCCACACAGAAGTGAGTGTCCTGTCTAATTTCAACCACGATGTGATGCTCCGTCACTGGGGACACTTCCTCAGCATCTGATATCCGTGAAATTAGCCATTCAAAGGCACAACCGTACATACACAGGACACACGTTTACACCAGTATGGCTGATCTCCCTGAGTGGGTAGAGATTCCCATTTTGCCAGTAAAAACTGTAATAGTTAAACCAAGTCCCCCCAGAATCGAGTCCCCTTACTGAGTTTATGGTTAATCGCTCTATCCAAAACTGTTCCCTTGCTCTCTGACCTCAATCCCTTTCTCGTCACCTCTGAACTCCATGCTCTGCTAACTGAACACTAATCAACCAGCATTAGATGACTGAGAACATTGATGTCATAACATCACTAACGCACGGAAGCTGCCGCTCTAGATCTCATCGCTAACTTACAAACGCGGGTTGTTTCTCTAGGGCAGTGTGAGCTCACAGACCCCCGAGCCATGGACCACCTGGCCAGAGAGTCACATATCAGAGAATCCTGAGCCCTGAAACTACGATTAAGAAATGTCACAGAAATGTCACAAGACAATGATTAATCCCATTTCTTTGTTCCTCCCCTTTAAAACACCCCCGACTCAAAGACCAAGATGGAGTGGATCTGAGGCTCGTCTCCCATCTCCTTGCCTGGAGCCCTGCAGATAAACCCTGACTTCGCTGCAAACACCCGCTGTCAGAGTTTGGCTTTCTGCACCTCCCTTGATAACGATCAGTGCCAATGGGCTGCGGACCCTCTGCTGGTGCGCGGCTTCTCCTTTGCAGATCCCGCAGCAGCCCAGGTCCCTTTGGCCTGGGGATCTGGCTGGAGAATCCCCTTCTGGACCAAGCATCGGCACCCCTAGGCAATATTTTAGGCTTGTCGTGAAGGAATGGTTTGGGGATTGGAAGATGTCTATGGGTGAGCAACCGGCACAAGGGTGCGGGCCGAAAACTTTTTTTTTAAATAATTTTCCATTTTTTTCTTAGACTATTTTTTTTTATGATTCTTTACATTTTAAAAAAAATTATTTTATTTTTTAAATTTATTCTGGCTGTGTTGGGTCTTTGTTGCTGTGAGCGGGCTTTCCCTAGTTGTGGTGAGCAGGGGCTTACTCCTAGTTGAGGTGCACAGGCTTCTCATTGCGGTGGCTTCTCCTGTTGCGGAGCACGGGCTCCAGGCGCGCGGGCTTCAGTAGTTGTGGCACGTGGGCTCAGCAGTTGTGGCTCACCAGCTCTAAAGCGCAAGCTCAGTAGTTATGGCGCACGGGCTTAGTTGCTCCGTGGCATGTGGGATCTTCCTGGACCAGGGCTCGAACCCATGTGCCCTGCATTGGCAGGCGGATTCTTAACCACTGCGCTACCAGGGAAGCCCTCCTCCTTTTTCATTCCTCCAGTTAAGGTAGGACTATGCCTCATTTCAGCAGGAAGTAGGCCAGAGTGGTCATCACCCTGTTCCCTCAAACATTTGGGAAAAGTTAAAACAAGAGTGGGGATTGAAACTGAGCCCCCCTTACCGACTTTAGGACTAATCTCTCTATCCAAAACTTTATTCCCTTTCTTGTCTCCTCTGACCACAATCCTATGCTAACTGAACACTAATCAACCAGAATCAGATGACTAAGACTGCTGTCATCATCGGTAGCATCAACGCACTGAAGGTGCTGCCGTAGGTCTCATCACTAACATACAAACTCAGGTTGTTTCTCCAGAGCAGGGTGAGCTCACAGACCCTGAGCCATGGACCACCTGGCCGGAGAGTCGTAGGCCAGAGAATCCTGACCCCTGAAACTATGAGTAGGAAATGTCACAAAACGATGGTTAATCTCTGTTTCTTTGCTCTTCCCCTTTAAAAACACCCCCAACTCAAAGACCAAGAGGGAGTAGGTCTGAGGCTTGTCTCCCACTCCCTTGCTTGGTGCCCTGCAAAAAAATACCCTTACTGTGCTGCAAACACCAGCTGTCAGAGTTTGGCTTTCTACACCATGGGCACAGGAGCCCTTGCTCCATAACAAGAGGTTAGATTCCCTTGAAGAGTACCTAGATTAAAAACAAAAAGGAGAAACTAGAATTTATGCGCAGTTCCACATGCTACCAACACTGACAAGGTTTTTACATTCTGAGTCTCCTGGAGAGAACAAGTTGGTTCAGTTAAAATGTAGGAGCCGTGAGTCATCCAACTGTCCCCTTACGCACATGTACATGATGGAAGGATGGTACTATTCCTTTGCAAGTGTCCCTTGTCAAAATGTTAAAAGTAAACATTGGACCCAGATTTACCTAAAAGTACTGAGTTCTCTAGAAGAAAAGAGTGATACAGAGAGAAGCTAGGGTTTTGAGGACTCACAGGCAAAGTTCCCTAATCCCTCTGTTGATGATGTCTTAGGGCTCCAGTCTGCCCCTGTCCTTGGAGACTCCCTGCTCCAAAGGGGACTCACTGAGCAATGTCTTCAAAGGGCTGACCAGTGACACTGCGTCTTCCCCATTTACCCACGGGCTTAGTTGTAAGTAAGTCTCAGAACTGAGTACCAGCCATTGGTTTCCACAGGGACCTGCAAGGGCAGCTCTACTGTCACCCTGCTGCTGGAATCCCTGAGGACCTTCAGTCAAACCCCCTCATGGATTTTTCAACACACTCCAAGGTGGCTGGGGAGGGTGGGTGGCCACCTCTGGCCAGCCCACCCTGTGAGTTGCATTTGTCGTTTCTGCATTTGCAAACACAGCAGGGACCCCCAGCCCCAGCTTTCCTGGGGCCACTTAAGCACATATGTCCTAATGAACAAAGTTGCTCTTCTTTTGAAGAAACATCTAAGGAGTTGAGTCCACATACAAAACCTCTTTGTTGAAAGGAGAAACACCAGACACTAAAAAAAAAAATAGTTTCAAACCTAAAGGTATCATCTTCCCTACACCTTCCTGAGGTCACATACACATTTTCTGTTGTCCTAAGCTGCAGCTAGCTGTCCCCAGGGTCCTGAGGAGTGAGGGAGAAAGACTTTGAAAAGCCTACGGGATGCCTGCGTGGATGGAGCCATCAGGAGGGCAACATGGAAACCAGGGCAGGGCCAGGACGAATGAGCAGTTGAGGCGAGGGGTGAGGAATAGCTCCATTCCAGATAAGCAATGGAAAACAAAGCCATGCACTTGGGTGGCGTCTCCCAGAGGATTCTGAGGACAGTTTGGTTGACATCCATTGGTCAATGGTTACCTTGAGGCCAATAAAATTAAAATTCCAGAGACCATCAACACCAGTGCTTGCAGTTCCTGTACAGCCAGGATCTGTGGTTTCCATCCTGTGCTCTGAGGGATATGGGGGCAACCCTC